AAGATCCGCATTTCGCACTATGAACCTTCAGCAAAATTGCCGTAAGAATTACCTCAATTAATTATAGTGCTTGTGCATGATCTTGTTTACTAGCTGATCATATTGAAGGAGATGCTTGAGAGCACCCTTTATTTATTTTAATATGAAAGCTTTTTTATTCAAGATCCGTTAGTTTGAATATAAATGTGTAAATATTTACCCGAAACTATAAATCTCCGCTATACATACGTAATGTACCAAAACTATACAATACAATATGCTCATTTCTAACTCCCTTTGAGCAACTCAAGTGCCTAGTTATTACAAAATCTAAATATATCAAATTTAATATACCCGATTAATTCTATTGAAGTCTTTACATAGAAATGAAATGGTTTCTTTATGAGAAACTATGCACTTGTTTATACATTACTTATGAACTTTTGAAAGTATTTAATAACCCACAATTTTTGCATTCAAAAATTCAAAGAATCCAAAAAAAAAAATTCAGAAGAATCAAAAATTTAATTCCACTGATTAATAATAAATCCAAACAATTAAATCATCATTATTAATTCTTCAATGTTAAAGAACGAATATAAATTTGAAACAACATCAATTCGAAAGGGTAATCATGGTATAATGAATTCTAACTCCTCAGCTAGTCTTAATAGTGTAAAGCTTAATTCTTCAATGTATAATTATCAAGATGGTATTAAAGATATTAAAATTCTTAGTGGAGGAGTATCAGCTGGCGTTGAGATAAGTAATAATGGCGGAAGAGTTGGACTTGAAGCAACAATTAATATATTAGAATTTAATGGTTCAAGTTTAAAAGCAAATTTAGGAATAAGTACAAATACTGGTATATCAATTAATACTCAATGTTTGGAAGCTAATCTTGCAGGTTTTGGTGTTAAATTCGGAAAAGAAATAGGTATAACCACATCTTTTGGAGGTATATCACTTGATATTGAAACCTTGATTAAAACGGGTTTAAATATCGATGCAGATATAATAACTAATATTGAAGGCTGCAGTATTATTCGAGACTTTATCAAGAATAGTACAGATGTATTACTTGGTGATGGAGATATACCGACTAATATTGCAAATCTCTGCATTAAGGCTGGAAAAGAAATAGGTGTTAATGCGCCTATTGGCAATGAATTATTTTGTAATGGAGATATACCAACCAATATTGAAAATCACTGCATTGAGGCTGGGAAAGAAATAGGTGGTAATGCGCCTATTGGAGATGTATTATTTGGTAATGGAGACATACCGACTAATATTGCAAATTTATGCATTAAGACTGGGAAAGAAATAGGTGATAATGTGCCTATTGGAGATGAATTATTTGACATTAAAGATTCAATTAAGACAGCTACAAATGTTACATGTAATAATAAAAGTTTGATGACTGATATAATAAACTGTGGTATTAAGTTTGGAAAGGAAATAGGTATCAACACGTCTATTGGTGATGAATCACTTAATATTGGGAAATTGATTACTACCGACATATTAACTAGTAATAAAAATGTGGATGCTATGATTACAGGTTTAGATCTTAAAGTTGAGAAAGAAATAAGTGACAACATAAATACAAGTTCATCATGTAATAATGAAGGTTGCAGTATTAATGTTGAAAATGAAATAGGTATCAACAAAAATATTAAAAATGTAGTTTCTAATATTAAAAATTTAACTAGTTGGATTGGAAACAAATCAACAATTTTCTCAAATTGATTTTCAAAAAATCTCTTTTCTTAATACTTTCTTTCAAATAGTTCTTTTTAACCTGTTTAGAATTCAGATCAAAATTCTTCAAATTTTGTTAATATTAATTGTAATATAAATGTAAAAGTACTCTTAATATATTATTATTTTATATATATATGTAAGTAGACCCTTATAATAATTATTTTACAGGTTTTTTTGTATAATAGTTTTACTTTTGATAATATACATATTAATATTGATATTATATAAATTTTTCTTAAACATTCAAATATTATTACAAATATAAAATTTTAATTTTGATATATAGTAAAGATTTTTCTTTATATGCTGACAAATTCAACTAATATAAAATCTTATAAAAGCTTGTATTAATATTTTTAAATTTAATTCTGCAACTTTAGCTAATTATTATATATATATAATAAAGTAAGTAGTTGCTATATGTCAGATTCTAAATCTAACTGATTTAAACCTAATACAATCCTAATATTTAATCTATATTATATTAAATTTTAAAACCTATTATTTTTTTATATTATTTTCTTTATCTATTTTATTATAATACAAACTTTAATATTTATTTTTATTTTGTTAAATATTAAATATTTATTATTATCATTTTTTCATATTTATTTATTTATTTATTTAGGATCAAGGGTTTTAAAATAAGACATTTTAAAATGTTACAATAATGACATCAAATTTATGAAAAGAATTAGAACATTCTAAATAAGAATGTAAAGAACTTATTTCACAATTTTGTTATTTTAATGTCAAAAAAACTATTTGACCTACTATATGCCCAAGAATTAAATACTTCTAGATTGTAGTAGAGATCTATTAAGAATCAGTAATATTATCTTTCTAAACTTGTACTAAGACTTTTTAATATTTTATTATTATAAAAAAAATTTTTCCATTCTTAAGTAATTTGTTGATAATAAACATACATGTTTTGGAATTGATAAGCTCAATGGAATATTCAAAATCAGATTATATAATATGACAAATATATGAGATAAACTTGTTTATTTTGATGCTATGTTAACTGAATTTTAATTATGTGAAATAATAAAATTTGTAATAATTAAATAATAATAAATAAAAATCATTATACATGTGAAGAGGATATAAGTTTATTATCTCAGACTAATTTAATTTTAGAAAATGTTGTAAAATCTTCAGGACCCAGTCTTTCAAGAAAGAGATCCTATACCATTTGAATTTTCTTTTAATTCTTCAGAGACTAGTGTTAAAAAAAATGTCAATATGAAGTTTAATCCCAAGGAAATTGTTAATTCTGTTTTAAATATTAAGTTGGATTAAATAGATACTGTATTAAGTTAGATGTTAACAATTATCAATTCAGTAATGTTATATATTAGATACTGAATTTTGATATTTAAAATAATATGCTATATGAAAGTAATAAAATAATTATATTGCTTTAAAAAAAAGAAAGATCCATGAATAATCATTAAATTTATTTTTCTTCAAAAATTTATGTTATACAATAAAAATTATATATTACATGTCAAATATTAAATACTATGTATTAAATGCTACGGCACATATCAAATCTTACTATACATCTCAATTGTTGCGGCAAACGCAAATGTTATGGTACATGAAAGTTGTTACGCAAATGTTATGGTACATGCAAGTTGTTACGACATATGTGAGTTGAAGCCCCAAGTTACGGCTATCGGGACGTAAAAAAGTTACGTCACCGATCATATTCCTGCACCTATATTAATTACATTTGTGATCGGAAACAGTATTTCGGATGCAGAGGGGTAGATAGGGAATAAGGGAAGGAAGTCCCAATACTATACATCCATCATCCATAATATTACGTTAACACTCTACTCAGTAACCCCTATAAAAATCGTTGTTCGTACAAATTCTTGATCATGTGACTTACCTACTTGCCCCAAGCAACCAAAGGTCTTAATCACCCACCAGCCGAATCTAACACCCTCTTTCGAAAGGTTACCTATCGTTGGTTACACAAGAGTTTGGACACGACAATATCTTGATAATTCGGATATGGATAAATGGATGACGGATTTATCCGGATTGGAACTCTAATTCGCGAAATTTTGAGATTATACCTACATTGAAATAGTCACAAAAATTTATTACCACAATAAGAGTTCTTTATGAGAATACGTCCAAATGTCTATCCGAAATGAAAGAGAAGTAAACATTATTTTTTAAAAAATTGCTTTTGGTTCAAAAATACTGAAATATGTAAATGTTATAACTGTTAATAGTTTACAATCAATAACCTCGAATATTATGTCAACTATCTTAAATGTTGTATAGTTGATTTTCCTGAACCTGATATCATTGTGCAAGACAAATTCGAGAATTAACTTCATTGAAATTAATTAATAATTAGCTGTTAATAGAGAAGTGTTCGGTCGCAATTATTCATTGCCAATTTCTAAATACTCAGATGATTTTTTACTTTTTTACTTTTAATTAAAGTTGTTCAGAATTAAATTATAAACTTAAATTAAAAGCTCAAAAGTAAAAAACATCTCAGTATCTAGCAAATTGATATGAATAATTGTGACCGTTCGTGACCGAACCTATCCATAGCTGTTAGGTACTATAGAGGAAAGAAATAATAATATGAAATTACTATAATGCCTTGATAACGTTACTACTCTTCTTTCCAATTATTTATACTTTGATATTGCTAAAATTAATTTTTTTTTTTGAAAAAGGTGAAATAAACCCATCACTAAAGATAAGCTTGTTTTGTTAAAGTTTATGACTAATTTTAGAATTCATCTATTTTATTTCATATAGCTCTCAGTTTCTTTTCAACCTAGCCCTATATATAATTTGCATAAAAAATATCCTACTGTGATTCCGGAATCGGCGAGTCTGTCGCTAAATTAATCCAACTCTCGCGTAACCTACGGCGGCTAAGTCGAAATAG